AGTGGTGTATGATGAGTGGTGTATGATGAGTGGTGTATGATGAGTGGGTGTATGATGAGTGGGTGTATGATGAGTGGTGTATGATGAGTGGTGTATGATGAGTGGTGGTTGAACAGCTGTTGAATGTCCGTAACACGGAAGTTTTGCACACTAAACTTCCTTTGGTAAGAAATTAAGAAAATTTCACCACTCGCCTGATATATGCTTTTAATTGCTTATATAAGTACTGTAATTATGCCAATTATGCTATATCATGTCAAAGCGCGCATGGTAGGCTCACAAAGACCATCACCCATACTGTGAGCAAAGACTTCTGCTGCTGGTTTTCTGGTTGCATGTCATGAATGCAAGACATTAACTCAAGGCAGCCGATTGAAAGCGTCGGCCACCTACTCACGCTCTCAAGCTAGAGCTGCAGTAGTTCTACGATTGATCTCGCAGTTCTTCAATTCCGAAGTCTGAAGCAAACTTTGCAAACAAGAAACTGTCCACATATTTCCTCTTTCCTCTAGCCTAGCTATACCCAGCCCCATGTGCCCAAGGTAGAAGACAGAACCGCTTGGAACTGCTAGCACTTTGGCAAGCTTGGTCATGGTGAAACGTCAATGTACATCGGTTCGCCAGAAAACCCCTCCCAGGGGACCCTGCAAATCTCTTTGGCTTGGCACCATCATTCTTTGTCTAGAGTTCCACCTCTTGACTTTGGCGGCTCTATCTCATCCGAGTCTGCTCCTTACCAACATCAGGGAAGAATATAGCAACAATCTCAATCTCTGCTCTCTCTTCAACCCACCTCAGCCCCATTAAACTATAAATAGGAAATCATAAGGAACTTATTGTGCAGATTACACAAACACCAAGTTGCGAGAACGTCCACACCGGAAGAAGCTGAGGAAGCTCTTACTGGGCCTGCTGTCTTTACTGTCTTTCTCACCTTCAGGGGCTTTGCGGAACTTCTGAGCTTGTGCCTTCCACCTGTCCCACGATTCCTCAGAGAGGAGATCGAGAATATCTGCCCCAGTGTCGATGTGGACAATCTGCGGGCCTCATTCAGTATCAAAACCAAAGTTGCCCCGATTATATAACGGTATGAACGCATTAAAACCAGGTCAAAGCTGCAAGGTAACATGTGCAAACATCACCGCAAAAAATGGTTTCTGCATAACTGTTCCTTCCTTGAAACTCCACTTCCAAACTGCAGGGCTCTTGATGGGGAAACAGAAGGATCGCAAACAATCAACGCCAACTTTTTTCAGAAACGCGCTGCCACGGCCTCGTCGCTCGAAGGCCAGCAGCATCACATCGGTGATGGGCCGAGACACTGTGCATTGCTCTGCAAGCAGTTCATTTGCTTTGGGTATCATCCCTGAAGGGTGGATCGCTCCAGAATTGTTTGCACAAAACAGTTCCCGCATGTGGCGTCCTTTCCAGATTTGTGAACATGTGCATACAGAATAAACGCATATAAACGCCCTATGATCACCAATAAATTCCATCTCCTATGCAAATACATACTACGCGTCGCCGCTACGAACATTTCTTGGCAAATACTTGCTACATCTTGCTACTATATACGTAGCCTTTCTCGGGTTGATACTCCTGCGCGACGACAACAACAACAACAGTGAATTCACCAATCACTGTAATTGTTTTGCTATGATTGGCATGCTGGAGCGTTGATTCGCATCTTGATTCCCTATCCCAATGCTGCTGAATATATGCATACAGTATATAGGCGATGTGTGAAGCTGCCCGAAGATTCTTTGGTGCCGGTGCCGGAAAGTTTTCAGGCATATATTGTATAGCATGTACAAACAGGCAATGATCTCATAGGACAAGGGCGTGCATCCATGTAGATAGCCTCCCCCCGTGAGCAAAGCCTTTTGTCTGTTGTGGTTCTCCCCGTTTTGAACCAGTTTGGAAGTCTTTGTTTGGCGTACTTCGAGGCGTGCACGAGTTGTTTGAAGTTTTAACTTTGCTATTCGGAAGCACCGGGTTGATCAAACCGCGCCTTCGGCCACCTTGAGCAAGGTCTCCAGGTTGGGCTGTGATTCATCCCACTGCAAGGACTTCCAAAGCTCTACGAGCGGATCAGGAGCTCCCAGGATCGACTGACCATGGGAGTCCACCACTGCCACGCTCAAGCACAAAATCCCGGCTAAGCCTCGAAGCTCCACGAAGTCCAAAACGCCCAGGAGCATGCCAAAGGGAAGCCAACGAGCAAACAAAGTTAGCCAAGCATCCAGCAAAAAGGCATTGAGGATCACATCCTGTGTCTGAAAGGACTCAGCCAAAGCTTCTGACTGAAAGGTCAGAAGCACGTCGAATGCTTGCTTGGCAGTCTCAAAAATGTGGAAACCTGGAAGCCAAAGCTCACGGACCTTCTCCAAGCAAGATTGGAACCGTGCATCCGCCATGGGGTCAGATAAATTCACGCAAAGCACTGCAGCGGGAAAGCTCATGCCTTGATTGTCTTAACTCTTGGCACACCATGGCTAAAGAGGTTGTTAAACTGGCTGCTACTGGCAGCAACCTTCCATTCACATACAGTAATTACATCTGAACTTGGGTTCTTGCTATTTTTGGATGCATCAAGCATGCAGGAAAAAACACACACAAACAAGAGCCTATTCATTGGTGGGTTCATTGGCGGTAAACCTTGTCATCACATAATGTCTGTGTTCAGGAAATGTCTTGCCTTGGCAGTATCCGATATGGGGATTGGCTCTGCTGTACGCCAGCAGCACCCTTCGGATCCTCTCCCGCTCTCGGTCCACCGCTGGCACACGAGGAAACGTTCGTGGCAAATCACGGTCGATCTGCACAGCCACCTCAAACAAGTCCCATACTGGCAAAAGCCTTCACTAGTGTTTCGCATCTGACTTGACTAAATAATTCAAGTGTCTTGCCCATTCATACATTCTGTTCCTCTATAATGATACGTAGGCAGTTTCATGTTGTGTCTTGGCTCTCAAGCAACCCAACCTGCTTTGCATAATCTGAGAGCTCAGCAGCAGGAAGTGGAGCGGAGCTGTCAGGGAGGTCCCCTTGCCTCACAGCAGCTTCCTCCAGCTGCCTCTCTTCCTGCGAGGGCCTTCTACTAGAAATAGCCTTGGGCTGTTGGTGTGAAGTGGCAGCTGCACTGGATGGAGCTTGTTGGATCACTTCCTCAGGAGGCGCTTGATCTGCTTGTTCCGTCGGTACGTTGGGAGGTGCTTCCGCTGCAGGTTTGGCCATTGCCTTTGCAGGAGCTTGGTCCCCTTGTTGAACCTTTGCCTTGGGAGGCACTTGCTCCGCTTGTTTCACCAGTGCTTTG